CTACAGCAAATGAGCCTGGAAAAATAAATGCATTATAAAAAAAAAAGATATCTTCGATCATGAAACTTAGTCAAACTTCAATAAAATCACTTTGAATAGTCAACCTTTAGTCACAAAGTTGGTATACCGAGCAGAGAATGAAAACAAAATGAAAACTAAGTTTAATATTTTGATATAAGCGTTCATGATAACATATTTTGCCTACCGTGTGGTCGAGTTAACAGTAATCATAACAAAAATGAGATCTAAATGGTATATGAAGGATTTTAAAAAGATAACAAATTATGTTTTCTTGATAACAAATCCATGTATGCGTTTTTTTTTTTTTTCTTTTGGTTTGTTTTTTCCGTCGATCTTGTTTTCCGTGCTGAGCACCAATGCTACCGACGTGCCAGGAAGGCATACATACATACATTTATTTGTACAACATCACATTTAAGATAAGACATAATCAACAATAGTACGCCACAATACTCGGTTTGCGGCTGCCGCTCTCCATCCTCGGTCATGCCCAATGCTCGCTAGATCACGCTCTACCTGGTCCGCCCATCGTGCTCTCTGCGCTCCACGCCTTCTTGTGCCAACCGGATCAGTAGCGAACACCAACTTCGCAGGTTTGTTGTCCGGCATTCTTGCAACATGCCCTGCCCACCGCATCCTTCCGGCTTTGGCCACCTTTTGGATGCTGGGTTCGCCGTAGAGTGCAGCGAGCTCGTGGTTCATTCTTCGCCGCCACTCACCGTTCTCCTGCACACCGCCGAAGATCGTCCTTAGCACACGTCGCTCGAAAACTCCAAGTGCTTGCAGGTCCTCCTCGAGCATAGTCCATGTCTCGTGTCCATAGAGGACCACCGGTCTTATTAGCGTTCTGTACATGGTACATTTGGTGCGGGGGTGAATCTTTTTTGACCGTAGTTTCTTCTGGAGCCCGTAGTAGGCACGACTTCCACTGATGATGCGCCTTCGTATTTCATGACTCACATTGTTGTCAGCCGTCAGATCCAAGGTAAACGAATTCGTCCACTACCTCAAAAGTATCCCCGTCTACCCGAGCAAAGTCGGTTAACAAAATGAAAGCAAATCGATATTAAAGTGTGCAGTTCCTATCATAATGAAAACTCATTTTGATTTCAAATGTTACGACATAAGTCTGATATCATATTGTGCTTTCATTATGCAGTCAAGACTTTTTAAATGAAAGCAACTTAACTTGAAGTTCTGCTGTTTACGTCTTGTTTAAAATTTAATTGAAATTCATCTGTTGTTGAACTAATGATGATTGTTTATTTGATTTGTTTGACACATTTTAGGTCATTCGTGACTTTCCCGGGGTGAGATTGGAGCCCAGCTTGAGAAACATGAATGGTAACCATTTACTCCAGGCCCGTATTCAGTTAAACATTATGAATGCAAAATCAGTAATCAAATTGATTTCATTGAAAGCAGGATTAGTTTTCCGTTTGCTTCAACAGTGTAAAATTTTGCTCTCATTTTTGCTGTGTTAACCGTTAAGTCAACCAAAATGAGATCAACTGGAGTATTCAAAATAAGTTACATCATAACAGCAAATTTTGATTTCAATTTGATCTTTAGCTTTGCTCGGGTATCGTGACATTACTTCCTAGACGAATCCTGTCATGTTCGGTTCCGCCAACTACCATGTACTTTGTTTTTGACGCACTCACCACCAGTCCGACCTTTAATAAACGGGCACCATACTCTAACGATATCATAGATGGTACGACTATCCCACATAAAGTTGGGATGATATCCGGAATTGGTGGTTAGGCGCTTCTTATGGTTATTGTTTATGCGGGATAGCACTTTGTAGGCGGCATTCAAAATGGTGATCGCTCTGAAATTCTCACATTCCAAATGGTCGCTTTTCTTGTAAATGGGGCAGATTACCCCCTCCTTCCACTCCTCCGGTAGCTGTTATGTTTCCCAGATCCTGACTATCATCCGGTGCAGGCAGGTGGCCAACTTTTCTGGGCCCATCTTGATGAGTTCGGCTGTGATACCATCCTTACCAGCTGCTTTGTTGTTTTTGAGCTACTGAATGGCATCCTTAACTTGCCTCAGCGTGGGAGTTGGGTCGGTTCCGTCCTCTGCTGCACTGACGTAGTCGTTTCCTCCATTGCGCTGGTCTCCCGTGCCTACGTTCTCCTCGCCACTCAGGTGCGCATCGAAGTGCTGCTTCCATCTTTCAATCATCTCACGTCCGTCCGTCAAGAGGCTCCCGTCCTTATCCTTGCACATTTCGGCTCGCGGAACGAAGCCGTTGCGGGATGCGTTCAGCTTCTGGTAGAACTTCTGTGTTTCTTAGGAACGGCGCAGCAGTTCCATTTCCTAGCACTCCGCTTCTTCCAGGCGGCGTTTTTCTCCCGAAAGATGCGGGTCTGCTTCTGTTTATACCGTTCCACGTTCTGTTGGGTTCCATGCTGCAGCATTACCGCCCGCGATGCGTTCTTATCCTCCAAAATCGCTCTGCATTCCTCGTCGAACCATTCATTCCGTCGACTTCTTTCCACGTACCCGATGGTGCTCTCGGCTGCGTCGGTGATGGCTGCTTTTACTGTACTCCGGCACATCGAGCTCGCCCTCCTCTGGCAACGCTGCCTCGAGATTCTGCGCGTATGCTAAGTTTCCGGTTTTCTTGTCTTTCCGTCTTTCCGGTTGCTTCAGTCGCTCTAGGCTGTACCGTGGTGGGCGTCCGTACCGTACATTGTTGATGACGGAAAGTTTTGGGCGCAGTTTGACCATCACCAGGTAGTGGTCAGAGTCGATGTTAGCGCCACGATTAGTCCTGACGTCGATAATGTCGGAGAAGTGCCGTCCATCAATCAGAACGTGGTCGATTTGCGATTCCGTCTGCTGTGGGGATCTCCAGGTGTAACGATAGGGGAGGCTGTTTTGGTAGAAGGTGCTACGTATGGCCATGTTCTTGGAGGCGGCGATATCGATGAGTGGTAGGCCGTTTCCGTTCGTCAGCTGGTGGGCGCTAAATTTTCCAATCGTCGGTCTGAATTCCTCCTCCTGGCCTACCTGAGCGTTTAGGTCTCCTATGATGATCTTGACGTCGTGGCTTGGGCAGCGATCGTTCTCGCGGTCGAGCTGCGCGTAAAATGCGCCCTTGTCCTGTGCACGTTGATTATGCTAAAGTTGAAGAATCGGCCCTTGATCCTCAACCTGCACATTCTTTCGTCGATCGGCCACCAACCGATCACGCGCTTCTGCATTTCGCCCATCACGATGGAAGCTGTGCCCAGCTCGCGTGTGTTGCCGCAACTCTGGTAGATGGTTTGATTACCTATAAACGTTCGCACCATGGATCCTGTCCAACATACCTCCTGCAGCGCTACGATACCGAATCCGCGGTCCTTCAGTAGATTGGCGAGTATTCGGGTGCTCCCGATGAAATTGAAAGATCGACAGTTCCACGTGCCGAGTTTCCAATCACAAGTCCTATTTAGTCGCTGGGGTCGTTGCCGTTGGTCTCGGTTCGTATTCCTCTGTTGCAAATTTTCCGTTGCAATGTTTTTTTTTACGGCTGGCTCGCAGGGCCTAACACCAACCCCCTAACTTTCCGGAGGACCTGGGTGCACAGTTGTGCTTAGAGTCCTTCACTAGCACTGGGACGTAGATCAGCCGCCCAAACATGGGGAACAGACGCGGTTGTAAGCCGCTCCTCCTGGAGAACCCTTCCCTGTCAGCCTATGACCAAAGTTCCCACCGGGGTTGGTTACCCTATCTTCCCTAAGGTTGCTCACAGTTTCCGGCCGGTACCACGGGGAGGTAGGGATGGAGTTGCTGAGAAGAGGCTAGTGATCTCAATGGGATCTGTATTGCGCATTACCAAACATTTACAAAAGCAATTACGCCCAAATCTCAAAGTTCTCCGGAAATGTGTTGTTAGTTTTCTAGGCTGAACATTTATTCGCGAGAAATCGGGGAGTGAAGTGTTTGTTTACAAAATCTATTACGCCCACACAGGCCTGCTGGGGTGAGAGAAAATCACGCTTACCACTACACCACCGGCGCCGCTTATGGCTGGGATTGTCAAAGACCCTAGATATTGTTGTAGGAAATACATGCGCTTTTAGGAAATACTTGAAACTTTAGATATTACTTACGTTATTCATTTTTCTCGACGTTAAAATAGGTTAGCCATTTAGAGTAAGGTTTTAAAAATAAAATAACACAAAAAAAATGCGGGAAGGAAGCGGAACACTTTTTCACTTTTCCTGATAAATTTATTCATCTGAGATGCATCAAAACAACCTTCGACATGATTGAAGTGCATCCTCTTGGATGTAATATTAAAATTAATGTTTTGCTGTGTAGGAGTGAAATGATAGAAAAGTTGATATCTATATACAGAAAAAAGTCTAATTATTGCGGTACGTTAGCCTGTTGTTATGCATGGAGGTTTAGCGACGCCGGTGGTGTAGTGGTAAGCGTGATTGCCTATCTCCCCAAAAGGCACAGGTTCAACCTCAGTCGGTGCGCTGGGATTTTCTGAGGCATAAAAACTCTGATAACGTCCCCGAAGTCCCCGGTCTATGGGTTGATGGGTCGATAGGTAGGGTTCAGGTGTGGGAGCTGCCTCCCTGGCGTCAGTAGCATTGGTACTCAGTACAGAAAACAAGATCGACGGAGAACAAAATGTATGGAGGTATGAGTTGGCATCCAAATGAGCTTAAATTTTAGGGGCTGTCCATAAACTACGTAGACAGTTTATGGGGGGGTGTTGACAATATCCACGGCCCATACAAATTTTATTTTTTTGTATGGACAATTTTCTACGCAGGGGGAGGGGGGTCAATAATCCAAAAAAAACTGTCTACGCAGTTTATGAACAGGCCCTTAAGAGAATGATCAGGACCTGATTTGAAATCGATTGAGCTTGGTAGACCAAAATTGATATTTTGAACCACCCTAATGATTATGTCTTATATTATTTGATCAATCTAATAAGTGCTATTTCCGTTCTTTTTCAGGTTTAAGTTCGGCGTCGTTGAATGCTGTGATACAGAAAGTTAATTCTCTAGAACGTCTACTGGACAAAAACGAAAAAGAGCTACGTGAAATATTACTGAACAACATAAATGCACGTGATGAGGAACTGCGTCGCCTAGTCCACGCAATGAGTAATCTTAGACGTTGTCGAGATCAGCTGCAATCCGGTGAACTTAAGGAACCATTGGATTTGTTCTGGGACTCATGGGATCATCATTCAACACAATACCGCTCTTCTCCAAGAATAAGTCGTTCTTTACCACGGGTTACCACAAAATCCTCTCAAATAGATCACCGCTTTAATGGTGTTGTACACAGTCCAGTTGAAATAAACGCACCAGCAATGGCATCGCCAGATATTATATCAGGGAGGCTACTTCATCCAAACCAAACCATGTCTCCGGAAGAAGGATCTGTATCTACACTTACTCCATCACCATCGCCACCAACATCTCCATCAAATTCAGCTCTATCGAGGCAAACTAGAAAAGGTTTTCCTACTACGCCCCCACCTAAAAAGAAGCATCAGACTTACATACGACACACTACAATGAATCAACAACCACCAACGCAACATAATCAAGTGTCACAAAACAACAATCTTATTAACCCTATCAGCACCACAATAAATACCAATAGCGAACAAATCACATCACTTACAAAATCCAAATCGCATGAATCCCAATTCTTTGCGAGCCAACCTATACAAATGATAGAGTCTGTCAATCAGCAAAATGTGGTAAATTCTAACAATTTAACTTCGTGCGTACAACCCCATTCAACCGGCAATGGAAGTATCCCATCTGGTGGTCGTACGCGTCTCCACACTGAACCTACTCCTGATCTGCAGCATGTCCATGAATCTACGGATAACATTATATCCTCTTTCCATAACGTATCTATACCACCAAAATCACCGTGCACGCCAATCATAACACGTGTTATGGGGCACATGATACAACATCGCTTTTCTAAAAAATTCAAAGTTACAAAAAGCACTTGTGACTTATGCAATAAGCAGATGTTTTTCGGATTCAAATGTACGGAATGTAAATATCGCTGCCATAAGGATTGTAAATCAAATGTACCTCCTTCTTGTGGATTACCTCAAGAATTTGTAGACGAGTTCAAGAAAAGTCTGCAGTCAGATACGCTAATGCCGAATGTTTCACCTAATCTAGGTCGAGTTATGTATGCCAGAGATCGAAACCGCGTTCAATTGCATGGAATACATGGACCGGACAGTAGTGGTTCAAGCTGTAACAGTTCATCTCCATCAAGTCCGGCTCTTCTGTCGTTGCCACCTCAAACGCCGGCTGCTTCTAAACATTCGCAATTCAACTTTCCGGAAGTATCTAGTGGTAGTTTATTCAACAATGTTCCAGATCCAGATGAAATTACCTTAGAAACACATCCGATTAATAATAACAATAATAAAACACTAGGCTTTGAAGGCTTCAACCAATCAAACAAAATTCCTAAGCTACACCTTTCGAAGTTGCCAGAATCGCATGAAAGCAACGAAAGTGATAAAACTGGCTCTACAAGTACAGCAAGTACTGATTCTTCTTCAGAGCGTACACCGGTCCGGCTGGACTCAACCGAAGAAAGAGAAAATGACAACTGGCCCCGTCAGAATAGTCTGTCTCTTAAAGAATGGGATATTCCCTACGATGATCTCAAACTGTTAGATAAAATTGGCAACGGTCGTTTTGGTACGGTGCATCGTGCTCTATGGCACGGTGATGTAGCAGTAAAATTATTGAAAGAAGATTATGTTGCTGATGAAACAACTCTTGAGGCATTCAAACTTGAGGTAGCAACGTTTAAAAAGACTCGTCACGAAAATGTTGTCCTATTTATGGGAGCATGTATGAAGCCACCGAGGTTGGCTATCGTTACATCCTTATGTAAAGGTAACACTCTCTTCACACACATTCATATACGTAAGGATAAATTTAATTTAAATCGTACTACTATTGTTGCCCAACAAATATCACAAGGAATGGGCTATTTGCATGCAAGGGGCATAGTTCACAAAGATTTAAAAACTAAAAATATCTTCTTAGAAAATGGGAAAGTGATAATTACCGATTTTGGTCTCTTTAGTGCCACTAAATTATCGTATTGTGAGTTAGGTCTAGGAATACCAAGCGGTTGGTTGTGTTATCTAGCCCCAGAATTAATGCGCAAACTTACCTCATATCGTCCAGTAGATGAAGATTTGCCTTTTTCTAAGTCGTCCGACATCTTTGCTTTTGGAACTGTATGGTATGAACTGTTATGTGGAGAGTTTCCTTTTAAATCTCAGCCTTCGGAGGCTGTCATCTGGCAAGTCGGGCGAGGTATGAAGCAAACGCTAGCAAATTTACAAGCCTCACGAGACGTCAAAGATATTTTGATGTTTTGTTGGGCTTTTCAGGCTGATGACAGACCAGATTTCGCAAAATTATTAGCACTACTTGAACGACTGCCTAAGAAACGTCTAGCACGATCACCCTCTCATCCGGTACAGTTGTCGCGTTCCGCAGAATCTGTTTTTTAAACTGTATGTGATTAATCATGTTAAAGTACTATGTAAACATTAAAGTAAATTAAAAATTTGATCTAGCTGTTCATGTAGTAGTCATCAATGAAACTAAATTATTTAAACGACCTGAAATTGTATTATGTAATAGGGAAATAAATAAAATGTGGAATAAAAAAAAACACCCTCAAACATTTCGTAATTTAATGCAAAAGTTAAACAAAAAGTAAAGAGAAAGCGATCAAGGATAGGTTGGGAAGAGCTCTGTGAAAAATAAGCTTTCCTTAAAAAATGTATGTACCGTAAACTATTGCGGATTATGTAAAACTAAGATGTTATGGTTAAATAATGAATAAATTACGTATATTATATAAATGGTTGTTTCATTATTTGATACAAAAGAAAAGAAAGTAAAAGTAAGGTTACCGTGTGATGGCTTTATTTGTTCCAAATTAAAATCAACTGAGGGAGCTAGAAGGAAAGGGGTGTAAGTGACATTGTTGAAAAAAAGAGATAATGATACTGACGTAAATTTTGAACATGTGTTTATGTGTGGTAAAAAATACACATTTTTATTTAACCATTTAGTGCTTTTTAAGAGACATGAAAAAATCACTATTCCAATAATTCATTTTCACTTGGAAGGAAAGGGGTGAAAGTACACTTATACCCCTTTTTCTCCAAGCTGTTTTAAAATGTTTAAAAAATATAGTACTAAAAATCTAGTGGAATAGCACATTTAAATGTATAAAATAGATGAAAAACTGAAATTTTGCCGAGGCAATGGACCGATACCCGAGCAAAGCTGAATATCAAATTGAAATCAAAATTTGCTGTTATGATATAACTTATTTTGAATACTCCAGTTGATCTCATTTTGGTTGACTTAACGGTTAACACAGCAAAAATGAGAGCAAAATGTTACACTGTTTAATCAAACGGAAAAGTAATCCTGCTATCAATGAAATGAATTTGATTACTGATTTTGCATTCATGTTTAACTGAATACTTGCCTGGCGTAAATGGTTAGCATCCATGCTTCTCATGATGAAAGACTTGAGCTCAAATCTCACCCCGAGCAAAACACGAATGACCTCAAATGTGTTATACAAAACAAATAAACAATAATCGTTATGAAGAGCTTTGAGTGTGTTGGTTTATTTCCTTTAAATTCCGTTATAATCACCCCTATTCTGTATTTCGTTTCAAACGAAATTCTCATACAAAAAAATATTTTTTTTGTATGAGAATTTCGTTCGAAACGAAATACAGAATAGGGGTGAATATCTTATCTTTTGACAGATACACGTATTTCGTCTACTAATTGCAGACTTCGTCAGTGCCAAGTACTCAACACCACTTGAGTACTTGGCACTGATGAAGTCTGCAAGTATAGTAGCGTATCTGTCAAAATATAAGCAATTAGAACGGAATTTAAAGGAAATAAACCAACACACTCAAAGCTCTTCATAAAAGGATTCCGTTAAATTTGAAAAAATAATAATCGTTAGTTCAACAACATGAACTTAAAATAAATTTTAAACAATACGTTAACAGCAGAACTTCAAGTTAAGTTGTTTAAGGTTTTTCCTTGTAGAGTCTATTTTTCCATAACACCTCGCAATATGTGAAATTGCGAAGTGTAATACGAAAAAGGACGCTACAGGGAATCACCTTAAGTTATTTAAAAAGTCTTGACTGCATAATGAAAGCACAATATGATATCAGACTTCTGTCGCGGCAATTGAAATCAAAATTAGTTTTCATTATGATAGGAACTGCAAACTTTAATATCGATTTGCTTTCATTTTGTTAACCGACTTTGCTCGGGAATTAGACAAATCAATGCTTATATAGGCTCTGAACACAGGAGTGGAACTTTGGATCAGAAAGTGGCTCCACTTGTCATTTGCGAACACTAGCGCACCTAGCGGTAGAAGGCATCTTCTGCCTGCAGTTGAGATTGATGAATCTACGCGAAACTGCACCAGTGCATGCGATACCTAGGTTTGAAATCCAAAACCACAAAAGTGATGATGTACTAAAAAATATTCCATACGATTTGACAGATAGCAAAACGTCATTATCATTTTCACATCATTTCCATCTGCTGGCCGACCGTAACGTAGATTCATCAATAGGCAGCATGCTATTGATTAATCTACGCGAAACTGCACCAGTGCATGCGACACCTAGGTTTGAAATCCAAAACCACAAAAGTGATGATGTACTAAAAAATATTCCATACAATTTGACAGCTTGCAAAACGTCATCACAGACAAACAGACGTAACTCTTCATTGTGTATCTTCGTTCATGTATTTAACGGTTGATTTGAATATTATCAGTTCCGCGAACTACTCGCCGCAGCGCTGGCATCGAATCACTTTGACGTTTCTTTATATTCTATAGAACTTTTATGCAATATTGTTTACGAGTTAGCGAACAAGCTTGTTTTCCGCGAGAAGCCAGAGAGATGTCGCTACTGAGGTTATATGTTTTGAGATACTATGTTTTCAAGAACAAGTTTTTCAAAGAGTTACGTCTGTTTGTCTGTGGCGTCATTATCATTTTCACATCATTTCCATCTGTTGGCTGACCGTAACGTAGATACATCAATAATAGTGTGAGTGCACATAGAAAGCCCGTGTGGAACGCTACCACAACACATCGCTTGTTGAGCAGAAAAACGAACACTTTTTGATTCACCGATTTGTTTGCACTTCTCCTTCTGTTCTGTGCCCTGAACCATTTGGTATTTGGTGGATTATTTTAACTTTTGGTTAAAATTTGACAGATGGAAAGTTATCGATTAACCCTGCTATCCAAGCGTGGTTATTTCTGACAGACAAGAAGTTAAATGTTGACAACCGTGGCTGAGTTCTTCTCGAAAACCGGTCGATCGACAGCACAGGGATTTTCGAACATCAAGAATAACTTTCGAAATGTCACTTTTAACCACGAGTTAAATTTAACTCGGCAAATAGTTCACAGCCTAAATTCTTCTCAAAAACCGGTCGATCGATAGCACAGGGATTTTCGAACATAGAAAATAACTTTCGAAATGTCACTCTTAACCACGAGTTAAATTTAACTCGGCAAATGGTTCACAGCCTTAGTTTGTGTTGCCGACATGACGTTTGTTTGCTGAGATTCAGCAAGACATTTTCCGAGACTTAGGCTCTGAACCATTTAACGATTTTTTTTAAACTTTTGGTTAAAATTTGACAGATGGAAAGCTATTGAGGCTGTGAACCATTTGCCGAGTTAAATTTAACTCGTAGTTAAAAGTGACATTTCGAAAGTTATTTCTTATGTTCGAAAATCCCCGTGCTGTCGATCGACCGGTTTTCGAGCCACGGTCGTCAAAATTTAACTTCTTGTATGTCAGAAATAACCACGCTCGGATAGCAGGGTTAATCGATAACTTTCCATCTGTCAAATTTTAACCAAAAGTTAAAATAATCCACCAAATGGTTCAGAGCCTGAGTAACCCTTTTTTCTTTTCTATTTTTCACCCTTTAGTCACAAACGAAGTGACAGACGGAGCGGCTCAAAAACTTTGGTGACTAACCTACTATTTCAATTTTTCAGTGTACCACATGGCAACACCACTACTACTGGATTGAACCACATGGCAACACTACTACTGGATTGAACTAGCATTTTCACCAAATGTACTAGAATGTTTTGGTTCTATCTCTTTCACTCTACTCAAAACCGAAATGCATAAAAAAATGACAAAATGATACGCACTCTTTGCACACTGTCAAAGAATCATTGTACACAAAATCAACTTTGTTCAAATCAAAACAAAAAACTAACCCAATGGATGGATAATGGCACAAGCTTCCAAGAAAATTCTATTACAGTGAACCACATTATTTAAATTGATTTCTTCGCCAGTTAGCCGTCTGTCACTTCGTTTGTGGTACTACCATAGAGGTAACTCTAAGACAAGTAGGTCCCGAAGAAACGTGCTCAACTTTTTGGCTCACCTCTGGTACTATCTTCGGTCCCAAGCTTGTCGAATCACCCCTCGAAATATAGGAAAAACCAATAACCCCTCATTTTATCTGTCAAACTTTCATAGCGAATCAAAACAAACATTGCGTAGTACTAGAATTTCGACTAGAATAGGGTACGTTAATCGTTTGCTTGGGACCAATAGGCTACTAAAGTGGTGAGCCAATTTAAAATCGTTAGTTTCGTATTGATTGTTGGTACTACCAGCTACGATACTTTTAAATTGTCCGTTAAATGCTTGTTCGATGAACAATTTTCGAGTGTTATGTCTGTTTGTCTGTGGATAGAGGATGAAACACACACACATTTGATAACGGCACAAAAGCATTTGTAAACAAAATTTCTAAAGCGCTTTACACGCGAACGAAAGTACGCCCACGCAAACTGTGACTCTGTCAAACTAATTTTGACAGATCTAATTTCATACATTTTTTTATGTTAGGTACACGCTAACTCTAAAGTCCCATTAATGAGTAAAATTTTACTCATTTTGAAGAAAAGTGGCTTAACTCATGAAATGAGTAAAAGCGACTTTACTCATTAATGAGTATTCGAGTAAAGCGTCATAAAATGGGTAGTTTTTAATCATCTTGTTATATCTGTAAATGAGTAAAAAGTACCCGTTTTATTTATTGTTTTTTTTATTTGCTTCAATGGACTGGCTGTCATCAAAAATAAGCACATAGATATACACGTCACCGCAAAATACCCCATAATCACTACAAAGTAAGCATTTTCGAGGGAGACTGGGACTACCCATTAAATGAGTAAAAATAGTACCCATTAATGAGTATTTGTTATTCAAAAAAGAATACTTACTACATGTTTTTGTAGTTGTAATTACTCATAAATGAGTAAAATTTTACTCATTTAATGGGTAGTCCCAGTTTCCCTCGAAAATGCTTACTTTGTAGTCATTGTTGGGTATTTTGCGGTTACCGTGTATAAGGGATTTGAACGTTTGTAAAAGCTGAAATCATTAAAACACTTCATAGTCTTTATTAAACATAATCACATAGGTAATTATAAACTAGATAATCTAGAATTAACCGATGTACTGGAATATGCGAGTGTTGCAGTAAGTTGTAGACATTGTTGTACTTTTTGAAGGGTAAAGAAGTTGCCTCTATTCGTTGAACAATCAGATTTGGATTCCTGGGCATATAAACATCGTTTTATTCTCCGAACCCGCTATTAAAACCTGCTAATCTGAAACGGGACCGTCGGTTTTTATAATACATACCTAAATTTAATCATAATTACATTCCTCATAGCAATCTTTTTTGAAAGCACCCAGAAATACCGTGCTGATCTTCCCCAACACTTAGGTTTGCAGTTTGACTCTTATGGTAATAATAGAACTACCCAATTACCTTTTTCACCTCAATCAACACCGGCCGGTAAGAATCTGCTGCCTCCGCGGCATTTTTTTTTAAACGCGGTACTTATCGCTCGGATTCCGAATAATTTGCAGGACATAGCACACGCGAAATCCGTGAACTTCCAAAACACTGCACTTTAACTTCACAAAACCCTTTTTTACCCATTGCAAGAAGACAATTTCAAAAATTACCCGCTTTTCATTTTTTGAAAATACCCATTTTTTGACAGTTTGGAATAATATCATAAAATGAGTCCTATGTAAAAATATTAAACAACTTTACACGGCGCTAGTGTGCGTGCGTTATACATCACTAATCTCTATTGGTGAGTAAATTTTTTACCCATTAATGAGTATTAGCACAAACGAAGTGACAGACGACTTACTGGCGAAGAAATCCATTAAAATAATGTGGTTAGCTGTAATAGAATTTTCTTGGAAGCTTGTGCCATCATCCACCAGATGGGTTAGTTTTTTTGTTTTGATTTGAACAAAGTTGATTTTGTGTACAATGATTCTTTGACAGTGTGCAAAGAGTGCGTATCATTTTGTCATTTTTTTATGCATTTCAGTTTTGAGTAGAGTGAAAGAGATAGAACCAAAACATTCTAGTACATTCGGTTAAAATGCTAGTTCAATCTAGTAGTAGCATAGAGGTAACTCTAAGACCACTGGGTCCCGAAGAAAATCATTATTATTTTTGGCTCACTCAGTACCAGAACAACGGTCCCAAGCAGTCCCAAGCTATTTCACTCACCCCTGCATGTTCTGCATGAATCCACACACCCCTGATGTTATCTGTCAAACTTTCATAGCGAATCAAAACAAACATAGTGTAGTAATAGAATTTCAACTAAAATAGGGTACGTTAATCGTTTTGCTTGGGACCAATAGGCTACTAAAGTGGTGAGCCAATTTAAAATCGTTAGTTTCGTATTGATTGTTGGTAGTAGTGTTGCCATGTGGTACAATCCAGTAGTAGTGGTGTTGCCATGTGGTACACTGAAAAATTGCAATAGCAGGTTAGTCACCAAAGTTTTCGAGCCGCTCCGTCTGTCACTTCGTTTGTGGTTATAACACAAAAGAAGTGACAGACGGAGCGGCTCGAAAACTTTGGTGACTAACCTGCTATTTCAATTTTTCAGTGTACCACATGGCAACACCACTACTACTGGATTGTACCACATGGTAACACTCACAAACGAAGTGACAGACGGAGCGGCTCGAAAACTTTGGTGACTAACCTGCTATTTCAATTTTTCAGTGTACCACATGGCAACACCACTACTACTGGATTGAACCACATGGCAACACTACTACTGGATTGAACTAGCATTTTCACCAAATGTACTAGAATGTTTTGGTTCTATCTCTTTCACTCTACTCAAAACCGAAATGCATAAAAAAATGACAAAATGATACGCACTCTTTGCACACTGTCAAAGAATCATTGTACACAAAATCAACTTTGTTCAAATCAAAACAAAAAAACTAACCCATCTGGTGGATAATGGCACAAGCTTCCAAGAAAATTCTATTACAGTGAACCACATTATTTAAATGGATTTCTTCGCCAGTTAGCCGTCTGTCACTTCGTTTGTGATTTTAATTGATTTCTTCGCCAGTTAAACCATAGAGGTAACTCTAAGACCACTGGGTCCCGAAGAAAATCATTATTATTTTTGGCTCACTCAGTACCAGAACAACGGTCCCAAGCAGTCTCAAGCTATTTCACTCACCCCTGCATGTTCTGCATTAATCCACACACCCCTGATGTTATCTGTCAAACTTTCATAGCGAATCAAAACAAACATAGTGTAGTAATAGAATTTCAACTAGAATAGGGTACGTTAATCGTTTGCTTGGGACCAATAGGCTACTAAAGTGGTGAGCCAATTTAAAATCGTTAGTTTCGTATTGATTGTTGGTTAAACGCTGTCCAGACTGGAGAGTTATAACATGTTATAGCGGTTGTCAAATAATTGCAACACAGAAACTAGAGTCGGTGTATAACGAGTCACGCCAAGAGAAAAACAGTTGAACTCGCATCACGGTTTTCGAAAGATTCCCTTTCTTTTAACTTGGCAACAGAGGACTTCTGCATCAACTTCAAATGACTTCTAGCGAGGAAAAAAATAACGGCTGTAGTATATCATTATATCAGTGATTTTGTGGAATTATCTTAAGGAAAAATAGTAGAAATTGTCATTACTGATCATTACAAAACGTATCGCATGACAAATGTAATGCTCACTGCGTGTATATGATCATTTCTTCGGTTATATTTAATATTTAATTGCAATACCTTTCGTGGACCTTTCATAGCATCGTAATGCTTGTTTACTTTGCACGATAGGTAGCCGGTTTGACAGTTCAATAGGTAGACTTGGCTTCACTCTTGGCGTGACTCATTATACACCGACTCTAACAGAAACCACCATCAAGATAGCGCTATAACATGTTATAATTCTGTAGTCTGAACGTACTATTAGTCGTCTGTCACTTCGTTTGTGGTTATAACATGTTATAACGGTTGTCAAATAATTGCAACACAGAAACCACCATCAAGATAGCGCTATAACGTGTTATAACCAAAGATGAATACTAAGATGAAACTGTCGGAAGAAAAACTTTCTATTTTAGTGTCCTCTTTCACGGTCCCTTTCATCCAATGAATACCCCCCGTATTCAAAGTAATTTTGTGGTTTTGCTGCCCCCCCGATAGAGATGAAATTTTGCGCTCATTTTTATCAAAACAAACACACCAAAATCAGAGATGTCCCATTTTTTAATTACTCGATTAACAACTAATCGATTATTTTTTTGTTCATTGTGCTGTCATTTTTCCACCAATGAGAGTGCAGCACATGTTTGAAACGATCGGTGATGATCCTCTGGATATGTTAATGCTTATATCGGCATGATATAACCGATTACAAATATTTTACTTTTCGGTTCGTTGATCGATTAATCAATTATTCGAATGAAAATCGGCCATCACTAGATGAATGTGAAACGTCATTTCAAATATAAGGACCGTACATAAATAATGATACAATTTGAAAGGGACCGGGACTAATCACAAATTACGTCCACACGGTAACTGAAATAAACACGAGTGTTCACCGGTTGTTATAACTCTGAAGTCTGAACGTACCCCATAGAAGTTAGGTGTCGTATGTAAAATTGAGCTATGTTTTGGTCAGTTGGCACCAGGCCAGTGACAAGGCCTATACCAACAGCAGCGTTTGAAAGTAGGCAGCATGTCCCGGGCTCAAATCATTTATTTTGCTATGCTGGGCCCGCTGTTACTGTATAACATCAAATATATTATATTAACAATATGATCCACTCTTTCGCTTAAGCTGGCGAACCGAATTTTTAGCGATGAGAGCACCTCTGTGGCCAAAAAGGCTACCAATGTATTTTTTTTTATCATCACGAGGGGTCAACCAAATGAAAATTTGTTTACTATTTCAAATGAATGTATTTCAGCATTTTATTTTATTTGATGACCACAGTGACATGTCAGACAAATTTTAAAGTAATATACACAATGTAATTAATGAAAATAATTTGACTCTTACTTTTGTAATAAGTGCTGTATTCGCACCCCTCGATTGTAATTGAATGATTTTTGCTGACCTTTTTCAACGCTAGATGGTGCGTGAAGCGATATTTTGTGGGTCGCCATATTGCAACGTTTGGAAAAGGTATGAATGGATCATATTGTTAATATGATATATTTGATAACATGTTGCCTACGCGCCTGCCACTGGGCTGGTTGGCACATACGACGAATAGTTTTTAGATGGTAAAATGAAACAGAAATGAGGTAGCGGGAGCAAATTTTACCTATAGTAAGAGCACAAACGTTTGTGGTAAAGGGCCACCCACATTAGATCCGTTTGCGTTGCGTTGACGTAAATTTGACAGTTAGACAATAGATTTAGCTGTCACTTTGCCGCAACGCGTCCGATCCGGATCTAATGTGGGCCTTCCCGCATAAACGCGAACCATAAATTGACCTTACCTAAAATGGTTAAAAATTGTTTATAATCCCTACTAAACTTTAACTGAAATGGTTATGGAACTTTACATGAACGTTTAATGATAAAGTTTCATTCTTATGTATTATGGTTGTTTGGAACTGGACCTTACAAATAATGTGTTGTTAAGAACCATTACCATTCCAAATCCTTGTTTTCTATATACATTTTCAGAAAGAGAACTATATAGGAACGTTTTTACTTATGATTTGAGAGCATTAATGGTAATGGTCATGGTAGTCAGTAAGGTCCATTAATGGTTTTGTATTATCGCTCAACTTTACGTGGAATATATCGTGAATTGGTAGTCAGTAAATTACAGGCAAGCAATTCGCGATATATTCCACATAAAGTTGATCGATGTTACAAAACCATTCGTGGACCTTACTGACTACCATAACCATTACCAAATTTATGGTTCGCGTTTATGCGGGTTCACTCGTTCGATTTAAATGATGCAGTTGTGTGCGCTGATTGAACGTCAAAAAGCTCTACAAGACCTTTGGATTTTTTATTAGCGTCAGAATGGCGAGATTCAGCATGGCAGGCGGGCAATATTGTTTTCACGCTGTTTCAAAACTCCCCAAATTTGTTTAGAATCCACCCAAATCGGTCGAAACTGAACCTTCCCAAAAATGGGTAAACAATGTTGGGAGTGACGAGTTGACAAATAAACAAAGTCGATCGGATTCACCTCAATGTTTTCCGTTTGTCAACTTGTCGATCCGAACATAGTTTACTCATTTTTGGGTAGGTTCATTTGTAACCGACCTGGGTTGATTCTTTCCAAATTTGGATTGTTTTGAAATACCGTGTTGATTCACTAACTTCATTTGGCATCACTGAAACGAAGGTAACCCACTCACTGCGCGGGCTTCGGTTCACAAATGAAAAAATTAGCCATTTTGTCAAAGAAGTACGCAGTGGATGAGATGTGTATCAATAAAATAACAATTCTGTTAAAAATCGGAAACTAATTTGCAGCAAATCGTTACGTGAAATCGTAGTGAACGTGAGGAAATCGAAATTCGTTACAGATCAGCAGTACATGCTAAAAATTAGCTGCTAAGTTATTACAAGGAGGAAGTACGTAAAGGAATTGGTGCTCTAGGTGCCTGCATTTGACCAGCAGAAAAGTTTTGCCGTCGGCTGTTACAGTGGAAATTAGTAGCCGCGGCCGATAATCTGTTTTCTATGGATTGAACGGTTTAATTTTTGTCTACTGGATTTCATTTGTGCGTGTTTGCTGAAATCTATAGGTGAGTACATAGTGAAATTTGAAGAAATCGTTGTTAAATTGCAGAAAGGAAGAAAAAATTCTTTAGTGCAAGATGGCTGCCGTCGGCATGTCCGTTCGGCTGTGAATTCATAATGAATAATATTCGTATGTAGAGGGGCTGTTCATAAATGACATTCGTATCAATGGTATTGTTGTTGTTGGAAGGTGGTTATCTTCTCTTCTCTTCAGGTGGTTTTCAGTGTTGAAAAGTATTGATTGTAGCCTAGTACGATAAATATCTAACAAAGAATAATAAGAAATTGATACATATGCAATTATCATTATTGTTAACGTAAACAATGACTGTTTTCGCTAAATTATCGAGAATCGAAACTACCATTATCGTCGTGTAGAGGAAGATTTCATCTATCCGATTAAATTGTTGGCTTACGTGTATAGAAATTTACATCATAAATCATTGTTTACAGTTTGTTATTTAGGCCCATTGGACTTAACTTATGTGTAGCTTAAATCAATAACATTCACAGTTAACCCTCTCATTCCCAAATGGTTTCAGTATCATAGCTTGAATGTCGTGCAAATAATTTGTTTTTTTTTTCTGAATAGATATTTGCAAAATAGTTACTGTTTGTATTTTGTACTTGACACTTTTTTGGCAGAACAAGGAGGAAGTATACATTGTTTAAAAGATTTCACTTTAGGGTATACAGAAAAAAGCTACAAATTGTAACAAATCCGATTAATATGGTTAAATGTAATAGATCTAGTACTACTTATCAATTATGTTAAGACATCCTAAGGTCCTAAGTAACACCAATTCATATAATTATGTTGAGTAAACTTCTTAACAACAAATTCAGTTATAGAATTGTTATATAAACTGTTATAGAACATGCGTGTTGCTAAGGGTAGCTCTTGTACATCTTTAACCATTTTATTATACCATGCGTTGAAAGATGAGTGATCAACACACGGGCTCGTAATCTCAACGTCCATGAATCGCCCGAAAAAAAAATAACAACAAAGATACATTAAAAAACAATGTAACAATAAGACGAAAATTATTGTCTTAACAATGATTTATATTGTTACGTCTACAATAAATTTACCTTGATTTATGTTGTACTAAACAGTAAAGTTCATGGTAAATGGAAAATTTACAATAAAAAAGGGGGGTTGTTAAGTATCTTAACAATGAAATTTTCGTAATCTCCCCATATATATTTTTTTTCAATAACATTATATATTATTGTTATTTTACTGTTGGTTGGCGAATTTATTGATTAAAAAAACAACAGTGTACTTAAAAGTGTATGTGTTGGCTTGAAAGATATACTTTATCGACTTTAAAAATAAATCGAAAAAATAAAACATTGCCCCGGGAAGGGAAGGGGGGTGGGTATGTCTGTTACGGGTGAGTCCTTTTTTTTACTGGTTATGGATTGAGATTCGATCCGGAACTTGTGAGAAATGGAGGCCAACTTCCCTGCACTCGATCTCTCTAGGTTACGTCTCCTTGGTGGTTGAGCGTCGTTGATAAGTTAATGCACTCTACTGGAGAGAATCGCCCATGAAATATGCTTCCACCTGAGAGTTCCTTCCTGACATCTTCAAGTGGTGGAATTTTTTATTATTATATTGTATGATTATTGACTGCACGGAAAAGGTCTGCATTAAGCGGGATTTAGATGAGGCAGGTGAGTTGAATTCAACTCTAACCGATCTGGTCGTAGGCGTTCAATTGACTTGGCAACGAATAGAGCAAGTCCGATATCGGTCAGATTTCTGGACGCTCATTTCGCAGTTCAAGTGAGTTGAACGCTGAATTGAACCATCTTAACCTTTAGAGAGCTTTAGAGAGGGTCTAGGATAAAAAATAAGCGGACGCGGACTGGCTGGTTTTGAGCCAAATGAACTGTCAAAGCCAGAGCCATACGAGCAGCGCCTATCTTGATTACATTGGCAGTGTTGCTGACGCTCTCATAGTCTACATGCTTCAATCAGATTTATTTTTATTGTTCGTGAAGTAACCCACAATGAAAACACACAAATTTTTAATGTAACAACAATTTTTATTGTAATAGAGTTGTTCATTATTGTTCATGATCGAATCATGTTAACAATAAAATAAATGAAAAATACGATAAAAATCATTGTAACAACATTTTATAATGTACATTCATTGTACAGCTAGGTAGCAGTTTTGCCGTTTTCGGAAGGGTACAACATTATAACAATCATTTCTATTGTCGACAAAAATTAAATGTTAAAATTTATGTTAGACCATTGTTTCCACTGAAAATTTCCCTCCCCTTGGCTAGTTTTTGCACCTTCCTGTTGGTGGGCGGGCTTAATTTCATGCTAGTGGAGTGTTGGAGACGGTAGGTTTATGGTCGGCGTTGCTGGCTCATGCCGCGATAGAATGGCGTCATGGGCAGGCAATGGGGATTACTAAGCTTCCCCTCTCTGATAAACCACTGCATGAGAGAACCAAAGATCTAGTCTAGCAGTGATAGTATCACACTTGTTACTCCTTTAATTGAGAGCCGCGTCGTAGTACGCTTACGTATAGGCACTGACGTTGGGTGTGATACTGGCGGGTTTTGCCGCAAATCACTCTTATTTTATTTATTTTTACGCAGATAGATTCATTTGGGTTTGCAAGGGAATTATACTATTGTAATATTTCTTAAAGTGCCCAACAGTGCTCCTTCTATTTGCGTGACAAGCTTTCATTGTTGTTTTCATTGAAGTATTACTCAGAAAACAATGTTAAACATCATTTTTGTACATGGTATTGTAACTAATCTTATATGTGCTTCATTTTGATTTGGGATAAGTGTTTGAACTATGGCTCGGGATTTCCACTGTGGTGTGCTTCTATTGGGACATACCCATATGTATTTTTGTGGGGCCACATAGTGGAAGCGTGAGAGCGTAGTTGGAACATTTACCCTATACAATATACAATTTAAAATTAGCTTGGAAACTAACTTCAAAGTGAAGCATTTTAGTCACTTGAAGGTGTCATCTGGGACGAACAAAGATATAAGATAAGATATGTAAAAGCCAGAAGTACTTGAAACACGTTAAATTGTAGTTTAAAAGCATGGGTTATGTAGGTAGATTAGAGATTTCAGTTATTTATTAAATAAACTTCAATTATAGAATTCAGAAATTTAATTAACATAAGAGATAGGACGCGGGGGGTCCGCTTAGGGAGGCGACTAGCCTATGAAGTTGTATAATAAATCTTCCTATTTAGTGTATTTGTTAATTACAGACAATGTCAATAGCGAAAGTCATATCTTCAACCAGGCGCTTACGAACAAGTGAAATTTTAGGAAAGATGTGTTAAATATGTTGATAGGTTTGAAATAAGAATTAGGATTGTTGTGCTTTAGGTAAGGTATGATGTGTCAACAAAACCCTTTTGAGCAAATTTTCAGACATCAAAATGATTGAGTGATTTATTGAAAGACATTGCGTTGCGAAAATTGACAAGTCATACATCTAACATAGTAGTAGTAGTAGCAGTGTCGCATAATCTTATCACAATTGCTGCAAATAGTGCTGGAGGGGCCAGCAGGGCTGAATACGGATCAAAACTAACATAACTACTAACACTAAAATGATCCCGGAACTAACACTTATCCATTGCACTTTTAGTTATTTATTAGTTTTATTTTTCTACTAAGTCATCTATGCTTCTTTCAATTGTTTGGATCAAGTACAACTAATACTAATCTACCTTTATGTATGTTTTACTCCCTTTTAACCCATTATCTTTATGAATGGCGAATCATATGACGTGAGACACGTACAAGCTGGAACTCAAAGAATTACTTCGAACAGGATGTCAAACAAATTCAGGACCAATCCAAATGAGACCAGAAACCAACAAAGCATCGGGGAGTTATATATACTCGGAGAGGTATTTGATAAATAATCAAAAAGTAGTAAGTTAAAATCATAGTGGAGCCAAGGATCATGAGAGGTAATTGTCTATAATTCATTAATTAGTAGAAATCTCGATAACTTTTTCAAGGGAGCGTATCGGCTTTTGTAGGCGGCGCGTTTGGTCGTCGATTTGGCGTAACTGATGGCTCATGCTAGCACTATCATCAGATAGGGAAATTTTCCTCTACCTGGTAGTGGTGTTGGTAGGCGTGTGCGAGCTGCCGGATCGACGATCGGATGCATTGTTTGCAGGAGCTGGTGCTTCCCTTTGAAAAAGTAATCGAGAAATAACCATATTATCCTGTAATTGATATTACTATTTTTATATATCAATGAAATTAGTCATGACAGAGTAACAGATGGGGAAGGACAATAGACACAAGTTGACACAATAAACAAGACAAGTGGGGGTTAATACACAAGACAAAATAAGTGACGACAGAAGACAAGACTGGGACGAAAATCAACCTTTTAAAAAAACAAGAATGCGCAATTATATTATCAAAACTATTTGGATCAGCACAAAAACAACAGTGACCAAACGGGCACCATAGCCTAGGAACGTCTGTGTGTTGATTTAAAATAGAGGCTCATAGAAGCAAAATTTATCAATAAAAGGGGTCCAGTGTAGAGTTTTAGCAAGTTGCTGCCACTGGATCACTACAAAAAAAAAAAAAAAAAAAAGTTATCAAATGTTAAGCCTGCATTATCCGTTTCAAACAAATGGCATACTTTTTTTAAAAATCACATTTTTTGGTGTAAATACAAACATTTTTAAAAAATATGTCTATATGGACCATTTGCATGCTATAATTACGATTGACTTTTGCTTCACGTTTCACCCTAGTGTACTGCTCACCAACGCCTGGAACGTTCTTCCGACAATGTCTACGTCGTTAGCGAAGCAAATTAACTGACTGGATTTATTGAAGATCGTGCCCTGCCTGTTTAAGCCCGCATGTTTTATAACATCTTCTAGCGTAATTTTGAATAGGAAGTCATCTTTCCCATCGCTTTGTCGAAGTCCTTTGCGTGTTCAAACGAATCCGATAATGCGACCGATATCTTCATACAGGACTGTACATCTAGCCTTGATTGGTCTCGGTTATCCAGGGTATCTTCCATCTCAATAGTAACATATGCGGCCTTGAATTCGATGGTGGTGCGTAGGGACTTGATATTCGCGACACTTTGGGAGGATCTGCCACAACGCAAAGATTTGATTTGTTGTCGATATGATACGAACAGATGGCCGAACGAAAAAAGGACGAAACACAAAAGCACGAAAATGTATGAACCTACCATAAAAAGCCGAACATGTATAAATCTGCCACAAAAGGTAAAAAAAAACAGAAATATTTATCGTTCGGTTAATTAAAAATATTACAATTTACGACATTCGCTAAATGATATGCATTTCTTATATAAAACTAGTTGTTACATACATTTGAATACATCAATGGCAAGTTTTTCGTGACATTTTAGTATGTCGCAAAACATTGACATATAAGCGCAACTTAAAACTTGGTTGATTCAGGGCTATCCCAGTTAAAGGATATTCGGTTTACAATCCTTCACTTTGACCTACTTGGTTTGTTGAAATATTGCTGATGATTAGCCGAAATGAATTTAAATGGAAATTAAAGCAACTTTTACAACGTTTATGACACAATACTCCGAAGATTTAAAAATCAATCGATTTTTATTCCAGTTGTTTTGCAATGCACGTATGTTTTTCGAATTTGTTGTTTTTTTTTTTATTCTTAAAACAAGCAGTTTAATGGTGTACTGTAAAAAGTCAGAAGAATTTGTTGTCCCTAGATCTTGAATTCTAAAACTTGAGTTTAAGGAATTATGATCTTCAAGATCTGAAATTGTCTTCAATAGTGATGCAAAATATCATGACACTCACTCGACACTCGTCAACGCATCAACCGACTATCGCTGACAGAACGTTTTGTCACGCAGTGAGAGGTAGAGCCATGGCAAACAACAATCACCAATAATGGTCGCTGCTCAAAGGCAAAACCTAACACTCTTTACTGATGATGAAAAGCACAACGTAAACAGTGAAGACTTCAGTACGATGATGAGAAAAAGCGAAACGACAGAAGAAAATGAAAACAATGCCTACGCATTCCAAGTTAGTCTCGGTAGGCGCGACTGTGTGAGTTACAAACAAAGCTGGCATAATTTAAACGGAAGCTGTTGGGCTCACTCACCAACACTCTCACATAAGCAACCAAAGCAGCAACTGCTTCAAAACGAGCACATATGAGTGTCGTGATTGTCGGGAATGACCACCGCTGACGACATTCACTAGTTGCTTTTCAATATTCTGTCTTTCGTCAACTCATGGTCATGGAGAGTGCTTCGATAAGCACATTGATAGGAATGTACCAAGCGTAACTACCATCAGCTGTTTGACGATCGTGATGCGATAGGTCGCAACTCTGTTCTTCAATGCAGGGTATCGATTTTATACAAACAGCCATTCCATAGCAAAACGATACAGTGGTTCTCAGAATTTCGTAAAACATTGGTAGTTTTGTTCCTTATTGCAAAATATTAGATCCGTATTTTTTTATCTTAGGGTGGCCATATTATATATATATATATTATATATATATGTATTATATATATTATGTATATTATGGACCGTGGACATTTGCCAACCCCCTCCCCCCTCTACGTGGGCGACAGCCCTTAGACTACAATTTAAATGTTCCATATTTCATCAAACAAATTCAAATTATTTTCCTAAGCCAATCATTAATTGTAGTGTATTTGTTTCTTAGATACCTCAACAAAATGCGCGAAAGCTTGGAAGACGTGAGTCCACAAGTTTGGAAGGAGTGGATCCTGGAAGCAATCAGGCGTATCCGCTGCCAAAAGCAACGGCCTAGTGTGCAAAGGATTTGTCAAGCAATCGGTAGCCATCACAAATTTCACGAAGATATTGTCGCGGAGAAGCTCGAGGAAGCTGTGGAAGCAGGAGCTGTGCTAAAGGTGTACAATAAAGGCTTGCATTCGTACAAGGCTCCGACCAACACCCAACGACGGGTGGTTGTTGTTACGAATGATAGTGATTTGTCGCGTTTAGTGGTTAAAGCTGTACGTGACCTTGGAGAGTGCGATGGATCGAGTTTGAAGTCAATAGAGAACTATGTTCAACAAACGAACAATCTGGACATAACTTCCGGAACTGATTTCAACCTAGTGATAAAAAATTCAATACGAATTGCTTTGGGAGATGGCAGCTTGCTCCATGAAGCCAAGCTGTACAAACTTGGAAGCGTTGTTAAACCTTTGGCTAAACGGAAATCTACTTCACCTAAGAAAAAGGAAAAATCGTCATGTGAAACTCCAGCAAAGGTTAGTTTAAAATAATCTGTTCTTAATTAGTGGATATTTTGGATCAATGCAATATCAAAACACAGGATGGAAGTAATTTCTCTCAAATATTTCTATGTAAGCGAGATTAGGAACAATTACAAAATGATACCCAACTTATCATTACTTATAGTCATTACACATACTTTGACAAGTTGCGTGGCCCTAATTGTATCAGTAATAAATATAATGTTTCCTTGTTTACAGAAAACGACCAATATAGTTTGCGTGGAATGTCTCGGCACGGAAGCGAAAGGTCCTTCAGGTTTACCGGAACCTTTAAGTTCATGTAGTGGTTGTGGTATGTCACTACATAATAAGTGTGCTAACGGTGGCGATACTACTGTACCTTTGGTGGCATTGGTTAAAAGAGGCAATAGATGGTACTGCGAAGAATGTAAATCGTGTGACGGTTGTTCCACGCAAAACGAAAAAGGACCGTGTGTACTTAGTTGTAACTATTGCTTAAAGAATTTCCATTTTGCGTGTATGGATCCTGAAGTTAACGTTTCTAAAAAACTTAAATCTGTCTGGAGGTATGAAAGTTTAGCGTAATTCTCAAAACAGCTAGTTTACATTTTCTGTTTCCAGGTGCTCTTCCTGTATGACTCTTTACAGTCAGAATATTAAGTCGGAAATGGACATCCCTTTTAGCGAACCCGTGCTAAGGAAGCGGCCTGATACTTTGCAAGACAAACTAGATGAAAAGAAGAAAAAAAGGTAGGTTGGGGAATTTTACCTTCCAGTCAACAACAGTGGGGGTTATTCCGAGAGTCGAAGTGAGTTCTGTCACTAGTGAAGTGAGAAAAGTCACGTCGTGGTGACGTGACTCTCCATTTGATTTGCACGTCCCCACGACGTAACTTTTCTCACTTCACTAGTGACAAAAGTCACTTCGACTCTCGGAATAACCCCCAGTATGTAGGGGAAAGTGAAGTAGTTGGGTTACCTTAAGAAAATAATCACTAATAATACCAAGTTCTAAATATTAAAAGCAAACTTTTGAATATGACAGAAGATTTTAAAAATGTTCGCTTTGTAATCGAAATTAATCCGTTGTGATAAAATGAGCACGCTATCGGGGCGGTAATATTCTGTTTTCATGAGGATTTAAGAAAGGTCAACAATGAACAGTTTTAGCATAAAAAGATTTAAAAGAAACATTTATTTTCTATAGACTGCCTATTTAAGGCTACATTTTACAGTCTTGTGAATGACTGATTTGTTACAAAAGCAGCTGATTTATTTGTTTATTTGTTATGTTTGCATCAACAGACTAGAAATAGTCCCAATGATGTGTTGTAAAAAAAAAGTACAGATTATACAGACTACATATACTACAGTTACAAACGAAAATAACTATGAAAGCATTGTCAAGTTACTAAAAATGTATAAGTCTTAAATTTTACACTTAGCTGTTGGGCGTCAAGCACCTTCGATCAGCAAAAAAGGCAGAGAACCTTCGGCGAAGCGTATTCCAGGTCAAGTGGAAATCGAACATCGACGCTACTCGGTTGAACACTCGCTGCAAGCCATAAATAGCGCTCCCTAAGCTATAATTAGTTCGAAGAAGTGGAAGTCTCAGCATAAGACTGTTGCGTAGTGATCGAGGTTGAACATTAATGTTCACTTGTTGATTCGTCCTTGCAGAGTATCGGCGATGGTTAAGGCTCTGAAAACATCTCTTCTGTAGTGTTTTGAGTATTTTGTTTTTGTGTGTTGTATACTACCGGTGGAAGCATAACTGTCTCATGTTACAAAACACAAAAACGAGAAAACTGCAGTTAAAGATTAAACAGACGTTGTGCTGCTATCGTAAAATTTCACGGAAAAATTTGGTTGTGATTCGAAAAACTGACGTTATACAACTATGCCATAGAAAGTTTGTCAAAATTTTGCATAAAAAGAAATTTTTCCATTACAAAATCTTCTGTGACACTTATGCTGCGGATTTCTCTGACGAGTTGAAAAATGTACGCATATCTGTCCCACTGTGAACAACTTCTCAGTTGCTGCTGTTGTTATGTTTGACACTTCGTGAGTGACGATTGGAGTTTTTTCTTTAAAATTGTTGATTTCAGTACCAACATTTCAAAGGGGCGTAATTACATTTGTAAACAATGGATTTAGCCGTCGATTTATCATGGAAAAATGCTTACTCATGAAAGTTAATGACACCACAGAGGCAGAGGAATGTTTCATCTACCAGCTAGCATTGCTAATTTGGAGGGGTGAGCATTTACTTGCGAGACATCGACGGCTAAAGCCAATGTTTACAAAAGCAATTACGCCCCTTTGAAATGTTGGCACTGATTTGAATGTGGGCCGTAAACGTCTGCCATAGAAAATTTAAAGCAGTACGGTGTTTCCAGTGGTAGTGATAGCTATTAGTCTTTAACGAGACAATTGCTCTTGTTGGCGCGCATAAACGCTGTCCAGACTGAGCAGTTATAACATGTTATAACGGTTGTCAAATAATTGCAACACAAACCACCATCAAGATAGCGTTATAACATGTTATAACTCTGTAGTCTGAACGTACTAATACGCACGATCATTTCAAATGTCTGCATGTACACGTTACACGTACAGTACACGTTGAACTAATTCAAGCCTCGCCCGTACGTGGACATCATGAGAAAATTGTTTTTCTCAAAAAGGACGATATGAGCTAAGATACGCAAGTAACATCAACAGTAAGGACGTTAAATACTGCAAACTGTTTTCCAAGAAACAACTCCAGCTGATCGCCAACGATACGTTCTCTACTGAAGCTAACGTACTCTGGTAAAGGTCTCCTCGTTGAATTGAAGTAGATAGGAAGGCCTCTCTGTTGGCAGTTGTCGTACCTGTTATTGGAGAAAACGAAACATCCGGAGTGATTTGAGATTTGGGCGTAATTGCTTTTGCAAACACCGATTTCTCGCGAATAAAAACTCAGCCTAGAAAACTTACAACGCACTCGTGTAGATGAATGATTCCTCTGTCATTTGGAATAGTTTGTTCGCTAGATTGAGCTTTTATTCGCAAGAAATCAGCGATTGATATATTTGTTTACAATAGCAATTACCCCCAAATCTCGAAGTTCTCCGGACATCATTTTTAGTTGGTCTTCCGTCTAAGCAACATCCATCGGAATGATAGTTATTTAAGGTTAACCGTTGTATGCATTTCTTTCATTTAAAAAAAAAAATCATCATTTTACTCTATAGTTTTTCAATAGCAAATTATCATATTGGTCACGAAAAAGTTCAAATAGGGCAAGGCGTTGCAAGTTGATTAGTACATTGTATAATTTATTTGTTTGTAAATAGCAACAGAACTGAGAATGATAGCTTAAATTTTCCAAAAAAAAAAGTGTTAATGTGCTTACAACGTTCAAATAAACATCCAAATAATTCAAAGATTAATTTTACCATTTGGGTAATCGTTTAGATCTTGTAATATGTTTACGATGTATTATTTGGATAACAGACTATAAAAGCATAACTGTCCCATATGAATAGGAAATTAAGCATGGGACAATTATGCGAGTATCGGCAGTATAACTTTTGAAGAATGGACAGATATGCGTCCACTTTTGCAATGGGACAAAACAACTTCACTTTTTTTTTAAATTTTTCTAGAATAAACAGCATGTTTTAATATAATATTTAAAAAAATATGTATTGATTTATAACGTTAAGCATCATAACCTCAAAAAGTCAAAATGTCACATGCTTCCACCGGCAGTATAGCTTAATCAAGCAAACATATGTTTCATCAGCTTACGGTTTATTCAGCTCTTAATTATCTTGAACCTTTGAATTTATTTGACATTTAGCAAAACTCTCCTCAGAAACTCTTTGGAATTCTCCTCAGAAACTCTTTGGAATTCTCCTCAGAATACCTTGGAATTCTGTGCTGAATTTTCTTGAAACTTTTTTAATTTAAATTCTTGTAAATCTTTCATAAAAATAATTACGAACTTGAAATTTATCATTATCAGAAAACCCTTTAAATTCTGTTTATATCAGGGCTGGTAGCGAGTCACTTTTTAGTGACTTGGTCACTTTTTTCAAGCCAGTCACTAAAAAGTCTCCTTTTTAAAGTCACTTTTTCTTGTAATCAGTCACTATTGTGCGTGAATTTATTTCAAGATTGATCAGTATTTGCTTTGTGACGTTTAATCGTCTTTGTCTATGTACAGGGTGTTTACTCATTTTTATAAATAAAATTACCGGAGTTTTCCAAGTAAGTTAGTCCAAGATCTAAAAATATTCAATGTCTTGAAATTCAAGATATTGAAAACTTTCAAAGTGCCACAATTAAGGAAAAAAAATGATTTATTTCAAGTTCGTAATTATTTTTATGAAAGATTAGAGATCTTCACGAAACGAAAATCAATTATTTTATTCATGTGTTTCATTTATACATTTTTGCCAAAACATAAGCCATATACATTCCATAAGACATACCACATAGGTCATATAAGAATGCATTAAAGGTATGTGTGACCGCTTATACATTTCATTTGACACATGATCTTCATTAACTTTTTGCAAGGCGTCTGCTTATTAGTTGACTTATACATTTTATGAATAATCAGCAATAGAAATTTGCCAAAGGTATAAGGAGATTTCTATCCGTGTTCATTGCAGTCCCATTAACTTCACAATTGTAGCAACTTTGGAGAAGTTCTGATGAATAAAAGGAAATGCTGAGAATTTTAGTGAAGCTCCATAAACAAACTGTGGGAACATAAGGGAAGTTCACACGCTGAAAATGTTTAGAATATACTGGAGCGGTTGTTTTATGAAGTTCCTAGAATTTCTGAGAACAGCTGTCAAGTTAACTTGAGAAATATAGAAAACTTGAGGAGTATTGTGAAATATTTTAAGAAGTTCTAATCACCTCAGAAAAGCTAGATTTAGAGATCTTTAGGGAATTTTAGATCTTAAGAGCAGTTTCCGTAACTTTAATCCAGACTTTTAGAGCAATTTAAAGATCTATAATCGTAAATTTTGAAAAACTCATGATAGTTCCATGATGTACTGAAAAAAAATCGAGAACCCTTAAGATGTTCCAAGAATTTCAGGGAAGTACAGAGACCTTCAGATAATTTATGAAAACTTCAGAAATATTTCGTAATTCAGAATCATAGACATTAAAATTGTTGTAAAGATTTAATTTGTTTTTAAGATTTATTTTCGTACAGATCATGATACTTTAAACAAATGTCTTGCGCAGTATCAAGTTCAAGATTGTTAAAACAATTTCTTAATTTATTCTCTTTCTCTAAAATTCGGTATAATTACCCATTCAGCCCTAAATCTATGCGACCTTAAAAAATCCATGAATCTTAAACTTTGTAAATTCTGGCGCTTTAAAATAATAAATAATAAGAGGACTAAAAAAAAATTCAAATTGATTCTAAGTACCGTAAAACGGGGTAACATTGATAGTTTTTTAAAGTATATTCTAAATATTTTTTACAGCAATGAATGTTTTTCAAATTTTATATTTTTAAAACAAGTACTGAGGATCCAAGAATTAATTCGTTAGTAATATGTTGAACAAAAATTAAGGCATATGCACTATTTTTTTAGTTTTGTGATTTGGGGTTACTTTGATAATGCTCGATGAATGTAGAAAAAAATAAGTGAAACTCAAACAATTTAGTTCTTTAAATATTAAACTTTAAATGGGATATAATCAGAAAACTTCACAAGCAATAAAATTACACTGGAGTCGCTTTTTACGCGGGTGATACGTCCCGCGTAAAAAAAACGCGTAAATTCCGGAATCCGCGTAAATTCCAAAATCCGCGTAAAAAAAACCGCGTAAAAAAAGACCGTGTAAAAAAAACCGCGTTAAAAGCGACTCTAGTGTATAACGATAAACCACGTAAATTCTAATAAAAAACCAAAATCCGCATAAATTCCGAAATCCGCGTAAAAAAACCGTGTAAATTCCGAAATCCGCGTAAAAAAACCGTGTAAAAAAACCGCGTAAAAAGTGTACAACATTAAATTTGTGATGGTTATACTGCCGCTCTTCGCATGTCGGTCCCATGGTAAAATTCAGGCAACTCTCCACAACTCGTAACAATTACCGTCTACACTGAAACAATACATTTGTCGTTTCTTTTAGTGTAACACCCCGTTTTACGGTACCTCGAAAATAGCGTGATATTGGAATCATTATTTTTATTAAATATTGAAAACCGGGAATTTCAAAATGAAAATTCACTGGCCACCCTGCAGTAAGGTGGGGTAATATGGGTCATCCACCTGTTTTTTTTTGTTAACATCAACAGGATCGATGTAGCCCCGATGCTAGTTTCATAAAGCAAACCATCATTGGGGTTGCACTGAACCTGTTGATATTGTCTATCAACGCTTGGGAAATCGGATAGGCTGAAGGCGTATAAGAACCACGTAATGTACTGCGATAATCATTCATAAAAGCCGGCGCACAATAGATATTTGTACCATTCGTTAAAACAGCAAGCTGAGAAAAACGCTGTTGAAGAGTTTTTCCTTCATGGGCTCTTAAGGATGAGACAACAAAATTGTCCAGGTTCATAAGTCATGTCTTATGGAATTCTTAAGATTTTTTGCTTAAGTGTAACTCTTTTTCGCAAAAAATGCTAATGGGACCGCACAGGGTAGTGTAGGAGTTAGTTATTTATCAACATAACACATGTAAAGTCTCATATAGACTAAAGTTAATATCATTTTTGAACAGCAAAATAATTATATTATAAGTTTCTTCTTTTTCCAATAGTCTTTTCGGTCAGATTATGTGTATAAGAGTCACGCCAATGAAACTTGCATCACGGTTTTTCTAAAGATTCTCCGCTCTTTCACTTGGCAACAGAGGACTTCTGCATCAACTTCAAATGACAAATGAGCGAAAAAGAAAATTAGCGACTGTAGTACATCATTATATCAGTGATTTTGTCGAATTTTCTCAATTAACAAATATAACAAATTTTCATTACTGATCATTACCAAACGATCCTATGGCAATTTAATACCCCGTACAGACTATGGCTTATATCGTGTTATATCGGTTGTCTTGTAATGAGCTCTCATACATAGGATTTCCAGTGAAAACTAGATGTATGAGTACTCATTGCAGACTATATGCAATGTTAAAAATCGGATCATGATATAAGCCATAGTCTGCATGCTTGGCATACACAGTTTTGGTCACGAACAGCTCATTTGCTTATAACTTTACACAGAGTTGACGAAACATCGTTCTTTTTGAAGCAGTAGATATAATAGAGTTTAAGCTTGTTATAGGTACATAAAACAAAGTAGATTTCAATTCTAGTAATAAACTGTATTTGTTTTTGTGTTGTAAAAATGAAGTGAGAAATGCTCGCTGCACATCTCGGACTTTAAAAGTAAAAATTCAATGGTCTTGATTCAAATGTTAAGATTTAACTACTTTTTGCATATCTATAGTAAGCTATGATCCTAATCTATCAATTACTTTAAAACAAATGAGCAGTTGGTGTGTACAACTGTGTATGCCAAGCATGATAGTCTGTACGGGGTATAAAGCTCATTGTGTGTTTATGATCATTCGATTGCATTGCAATTGCAATACCTTTCGTGGGGCTCACATAGCATCGTATTGTTTATTTACTTTGTACAATAGGTAACCGGTTTTACAGTTCAATAGATAGACTTGGCTTCACCTTTGGCATGACCGACTCTAGTTTTTTTTTCCTTGATTTGTTTTCCGTCGATTTTGTTTTCCGTGCTAACCACCAATGCTACCGACGCCAAGGAGGCAGCTCCCACTCCTGGACCCTACCTATCGACCCATCAACTTATGAACCGGGGACCAACGGCTTTACTTCCGAAGGAAGGCGTGATCAGTTATGCCTCAAAACATTCCGGCGGCGCCGCTTGGGATTGAACCCAGGCCTGCTGGGGTGAGAGGTAATCACGCTTACCACTACACCATCGGCGCCGCGGACTCTATTTTTGGTTATATTTTCATTTAGTTTTTATAATTATAAGTTTTTAAAATTATTTGTTTTATTATTAATGAATGCTGGATTGATTGATTGATTGATTTCTTTATTAAAGCGCCTTTCAGCCGTGGGCTGATTTGTCTCTGAAAACCCCAGAGAGAGGTTTTTCTAGTTGGAAAGGCTGGGAATCCCAGAAGGGAATTCCTCAAATAAATTGAAATTGAAGCTGTCAACCAGTGTTGGGAAATATCAAAAAATCAAATCTCACCAATGCTCCAGATTACGCTTGATTTTCGTAGACAAAATTCAACAAGCATACAGCTGCGCAGCTCGGAATATCAAGCTAACTAAACTCACCAGTTGGAAATCTCACCAAATTGTGGTGAGATTGAGTTTAATGATTTTTGCTTTACACCCGAACGCAACCAAAGGTTCCATAACGGCTGGCAGCAGTCACTTCTTGTATGTCATCGGTCAACTGTAAATAGAGATAGCATACTATACTTTCTCTTTCTAAGAAAACGATGTGCAACGGAATGATTTTTGTGTCTAGTCAACTCTCCGCTTGATTTTTGCACGTTGTGAATAGTCTCGCAATATCAAAGGAGCTTGTTAAATCAATATCACGCGTGATATTGAGAGCGGAAAAATATAATTTGATTGATGATTTTGCCAACACTGCTGTCAACACTCTCGGCGAGTTCAATGCTACAACACTGAGGCAAATAAACTTAAGAATTCCATAAGGCATAACTTATGAACCTAGACAATTTTGATTTCTTAAGATACTTATGAATCGCTATAGGCATCGCTTCTGGAATTGCTCTAAAAACAACAAAGCTGGCAATATACTGTTCCAGGCAGCAGCTCGTTCTGGATTCCACATCCACTATCCGGATACTCCAACATTCTACCCATTTGGTCTTGGACATCCGTCGACCTTAGCTCTTGTGCTGTTCAACAACTTGCTCAGCATGACGAAACATGTAGCCCCTACAGGTGACTTTCGAAGTCAGCCTAACGAGATCTCCTGAATTATATACTAAGACTGTCCAATGCTACGCTTGCGCAAACTTGCTGTCGTTTCAAAACGTGGTGAATGTGATCTAATGGATCCTCTGAATGAAGTTGATACCACTCTTACCTTCTTCAAGGCTATACTTACAAAAATAGAATAGATTTCCGTTACTGAGATCACCCCACAGCCCTATGATGTTGCTCGCATTCTGGAAATAACTCAGCGTTTAATATAACTTCGGAACAGGCGACGTCGTCAGTGGATGAGAACTAGATTCCCTTTCTTCAAAGAAATACACTGGAGTCGCTATTTACGCGGATTTCAGAATTTAAGCGGTTGATTCTTATACACTGGAGTCGCTTTTTACGCGGATTTCAGATTTTACGCGGATTTTTTATACGCGGCACGGCACCCCGCGTAAAAAGCGTCTTCAGTGTAGTTTTATCATTAAACAATCGCATTCTGCTTGCTTGAATATTTTGTTAAATCGGACAATAACCAAATGGCTGACGATTCGGCTACAGCTGATGCTGTGATACATTCATCGAGCAAATGCTTATGAAATCTGCTGACAATACATGCCTGGTTCACCCTACACGGTAACCGCAAAAAAACTCCTTTATGACTAATAAAGTATACATTTTTCAAGGAAAACGGGATTAGCCACAAAATGAATAAAATGTTACGCCTTTATGAGTAATTGCTAGTACAAACACAAATAAAAGGTGTAAAAAATATACAGATTTTAGGGGTAGTACCGTTTTCCCTCGAATATGCATTCTTTGTAGCAAAGCGTTATTGACTGCTTAGGCTGAGTGTGAAATCACTGCTCTATTCAATTCATTGCTCTATCCAGACCGTATGTACCAAACGGTAAAGGACGAGGCAATGAAGGAACAAACAAAACCATTCAGTCACTCACGAACAGGCGACTCACACCGCTGGCTATCGCTCACACAGCATTTAATTGAGGCATTTTTCCATAGAAAATGTACGCTCAAGGATTGGGTACCATCCACCATAGGACTCTTGATGCAGGAGTACCAGTAAACGTGGAAAGTAAAAGCGAATCCTACGAATCCCAGGCAATTTTCTTCACTTATAGACGAATCCCTAGAAACATGCCACAGAGTCAAGTTTCCAGCGGTGGACATGTTGCATACCTTGGTGTGATTCTTGATACGAAACTTAAGTCACTAAAGTACTGCTGTACAAAACCGGATTTCCTGCTTGGTATGTTTGCGCTAAAAGTCACCGCAATCAAATACAGATTAAGCAAAACCGATTACTCACGATGATGTTGAACTTGGAGCATTTTCACCCAACCGATAGTTCCTGAGGCTGATCCTAAATTCCACATTAGCTGTTTGTCCTTCCTTTCTCCAAATCCCCTTCTCCAAGAACTGGCAGTATAACATTGTGATATTAAAGTTTAGCTTCTTCTTCTTCTTCTTCTTCTTCTTCTATCTTTGTTTTTCTTAAATAAATTTTTATGTTTTTTTTTTGTAAATTTTTCCTTGTTTATTATGTAACTTGTCCGTAAGTATACAAAAAATTCTTAACTGCCTGATCATCTGCTGCGAGGTACATCCAAATTTCAGAAACAAAGATCAACACACAAATTGTATTCGATAATATTGAAATAAATAAATAAAAAATAAACAACATTCAATTAGAACATGAATTATTCTTATCTATTTTTTATTCTATTTCCTCACAGGTCTGTTTTGGATAACCAATCGCTACATGAGACTCAAACGATCCGAAAAAATATGTCATCGCCCATGCAAGGGAGCTCTAGTGCTTCAATGAAAACGCCAAAAGCGAGTTCATCGTCTAAAACCATTAATCCACGTCGTATCAAGCAGCAGCAGCCCCAGCTATCGTCACCGGAGCCTCCGGAGCGGAACGAGGAATTGCCCGGTAAACATTTCAATAAATTTTCTTCCACTATTGTACCAAACCCGATGATGATGACGACGATGTCCAGAACTGGTATGAATGAAAAGAATTTGTTTTTGAATCAACCCACGCGCGTGTTTTCTCGCGAACAGGCTGCTTTTCTTCTGTCGTCGTCAAACAAACATCAATTGTTATCAAATTCCGATCATATGTCAACTGAAAAGCAGCCGAAATCTCGTTTTTCTGCTTTAAACAGTAAAAGATCTAAACCCAAATCAAGGTCTGAAAAAGAAAAGATCCAAACCAATGCACAAATTACAAATCAATCGAAAGAATCTTTCCAATATAATGAAACCAGCAGTGCAAGTGACGAAGAAGTTGATAAAAGATTCAAATATAGGAAAGATAAAAAATCTATAAATCTAGAAAAAGAATCTAATGTCTATGAAGGACAATGTCGTGCCGTTCAATTGTCTGAGTCATCATTTGAATCAACTAGCAGTGATAATGAATTACACAATTATACAACAAGTGACAGTTGTAGTTCCAGCTCAGATAGCAATAATGATTCTGATAATAGTGATAGCTCTGATAATGAGGAACCAATGAAATTAGAAACTACTAAAAACTGTGATAAACTACAAAATTATTGGCCAGGTTTAAATGGTCAGATTGGATTACTTTCTGCCAAAGCTGCTCCACGCCTAAGTGCACCAAACCCAAAGTCTACAATTGCATTTATTGGGTGTAAAATAAGCAACAATGATTCGTGGGGATTTGCTGCAGAAGCAAAGAAAAATATTGATATTTTCAGACAAAAATCCGAACAGGCAACGACAAAAAGTATTAACAAAGCATCAGCTGTAATAGCTAAGAAGGCGAATCAATCTGTAAAGCAGAAAAAGGATACAGTGAAGATGTTGAGTGACAATTTGTCACAATACTTTTCCCCTAACGATTATGTTCGTACGGCTGAGAAAAAATATGGCTTACAAAGCACCGTTGACCCTAGGTCGAATGAAAAGCTGTTAAAAGAATCAAAAAGTACATCCGGAAACTATGATCAGACTCTTACGATGAAAAGGAAACATATTGAGTCCTCTACAAAACACGACAATAAGAAGGAATCGGAAACCTGCAGTAAAAGCACAATTTTAAGTCGTTGCTTTTCATCAATAAGAAGTAATCAGCAAGTCGCTAAAGATAATTATAATCTCTACATGAGCTCAATCGGAGAGGAAGGAATGTCCGAAAAGCTCTCTCCAAGCAAACTAGTAAAAAAAGCTATTAATGAAAAACACTTTGAACGGCAGAATAAATCTCGCTTCGGCAACAACGATCCACAGATGATAAAAATGTACAACACTGATAATAGAAACAGTTGTTCTAGTCTCTCTAGTAGTAGTAGTGTTTTGCCAAAACAGGCGGTCATTTGTAATTCCATCGCATCCAACAAAAGTGCATACAATGCTGTCCCAGCTGGAAAAGCTGATACACCTGGCGCATTACACCATCTACCGCCACACAGCAAATCTCCCTCTATAATGGGTAAGAAAATATAAAATTCATATGACGATTGACTAAACATTTCTGAACAGGCATTTTATGAATATTGATTAAGATATGAGTAATACACATTTGGTGTTAATAGAGCAAATCGAAATATTTAATCGTAAATCTTATTGCCATGCCTTTTATCGTTATAGTAGCATTTCTGGATGCTACTATCCGTTTTTAACAATTTGTAACTTTCGTAAAGGACCATGTTGTCCTATTTGCGGTCGATTTTACATCACCGAGAGAACACTTGGTTGCAGTCATTTGGCAGTTAAATTGTTCGGTAGATATTATTTTTGACCGAAAGGCACCTGGCAGAAGCTTTTAACCAGTATGATACAAATAATTTGGTTCTTAAATTACGCAAGTTTTAATATTACTTGTGGTCTGGACATGTGAGACAGCAGTACGGCCAACGAAATCAACGAAAACACAACGGTTGAAAAGAAGTGCTTCTCCGAGATAGATGATTTCAGTAGACAACAGATAGATACGGTTTCTCTGCCAACCGTCTGCCAAATGACTTGCTACCAAGTGTTCTCTTTAGTACAAATTTATCATATTTTAATGCAATAGTTATGTCTCTTACCTTTCTCTTCTGTATTCTCTTGTGCTGCATATACATTTTTAGGGCAAATATTTAGCGTTAACCAAGTGTATTTTTTTTTCTCCTCACAATTCTGCATTATTACGCGCATACAAATATTAAGCGTTTATCAAATCTTACTATTTTTTTTACATTACATACATTAACTTAACATAATATAGTAAAATTACGTGATTTCTCTCATGTTTTTTTTTTTTTTTTTTTTTTTTTTTTTTTTTTTTTTTTTTTTTTTTTTTTTTTTTTTTATAGTAAGGTTTAGGAAATCTTCAAGAAGCCTGGCCTGTAGTGAAGGTGGCACGGTGTGGTATCCACTAGTTGCCTAGTGCAGCTCCACTAAAACCCATTCCTTACTCTCTCCTCTGCCTGGATCCCCCCGGGACCACTGTGAAGCGACTACTTCGGGGGGTGGCTGTGCTCATGCACTTGTCGTACTCTCAGCGCTAGCTGGCGTTGCTAGATCGCTGCTCTTCTCTCCATTTACGCTGCAGCTCTGACATAATCTGTGTGACTGCCCTGCTGACGGCATTCCAAGAGTCCTCCTCTCGACACATTTCATCAACGACATTCTCCACGTTAAGGACGGGCATCTCCGTTCGCACTGCCTCGAACCTTGGACAGTCAAAGACCACATGCTCCGGCGTTTCATCGACGTTGCCACACTCCGGACAGAGGGGTGACGCTGCGTGTCCGAACCGATGCAGGTATTTCCTGAAGCAGCCGTGGCCAGACAGGAACTGCGTTAGGTGGAAATTGACTTCTCCGTGTTTTCTGTTCACCCAGGTCGAAAGAATCGGTATTAGTCTATGTGTCCATCTACCGTTCTCCGTCGTGTTCCACTCCTGTTGCCACTTAGCCAATGACTCCACTCTCACAACTTTCCGTACTCTTCCGGCTTCTCTCTGCCTGTAGCACTCACTGTCCTCCGCCAGGGTGATGCCGATAGGGATCATACCGGCGATAACGCATACTGCTTCCGACGAGATGGTTCTGTACGCACTCACGACTCGCATGGCCATGAGCCGGAACGTACTGCTCAGTTTCCTTTGGTTCTGCTTCGTTTCCAGCGCTGGAACCCAGGCTGGACCTCCATATCTCAGTATCGATGATGACACGCTGGCCAGAAGACGCCTCTTGCTACTGCTGGGACCAGCGTTGTTCGGCATGATTCTAGCTATCGCGTTGATGGCCTTCGAAGCCTTCTCACAGGCATATTCGACGTGGCTGTTGAAGTTTAGCCGGTCATCGATCATCACTCCCAGGTATTTTAACACACGCTTCGAGGCTATGGTGTGCTCCCCGACGGTGATTTCCGCCCGCTGTACCGCTTTACAGTTACTGACCAATAACACTTCCGTTTTGTGGTGGGCTATTTGCAGCTTCGCTCCTTTCATCCAGTTACCAATCATGTCGATTGCCTCGGTTGACAACACTTCCACCTCTTCCAGCGTCTCGCCTGTTACCGTCAAGACGACGTCGTCCGCAAAGCCAACGATCTCAACTCCTTTGGGCAGTTTCAGCGTTAGCACGCCGTTGTACATCCCGTTCCAGAGCGTTGGACCAAGGATGGAGCCTTGTGGAACTCCCGCTGTGATCCTAATCGATCTCTGTCCCATGTCTGTCTCGTAGACCAGAACCCGGTTCTGGAAATAACTCCTCAGGATCCTGCACAGGTAGTCAGGGACCCTCATTCTATGCAGTGCTTCGGCGATGGCCTCCCAGCTGGCGCTGTTGAACGCATTCTTGACGTCGATCGTTATGACGGCGCAATATCGATCTCCTCTCCGCTTCTGTTTGGACGCCTTTTCAGCTCTCTCGACCACTGTCCGAATTGCATCCACCGTCGATCTCCCTTTCCGGAATCCGAACTGCCTCTCCGACAATCCGTGCTCACTCTCCGTGTATTTCGTCAGCCTGTTTAGGATGATCCTCTCCAAGAGTTTTCCGAGTGTATCCAGCAGGCATATAGGCCTGTATGATGCTGGATCCCCCGGCGGTTTTCCTGGTTTCGGCAGCAACACTAGCTTCTGTATCTTCCACCTGTCAGGGAAGTGACCCTCGTTCAGGCATTTCTGCAGCACCATCCTGAACATGTCCGGGGATGACTGGATCGCCGCTTTCAACGCTACGTTGGGGATTCCATCCGGACCGGGAGCTTTCTTCACCTTCAATCCTTTCGCCACTACTACGAGCTCCTCGTTGGTGATTTCGACGTTATCTCCCTCTCTTTCTCCGTACGGTGTAGGTGGCCAGGTTGTTGGGTCGTGCTTCGGGAAAAGTCCTTCCACGATGACTTTCAGCTTCTCTGGGCACATTTCAGCGGGCATCGTTGGACCTCTGATCTTCGCCATCACGACTCGGTATGCGTCGCCCCAGGGGTTGGCATCAGCGTCTTGACACAGCTCCTTAAAACAGTTCGACTTGCTCTGCTTAATCACTCGTTTAAAAGCGGCCCTGGCCGCTCGAAACACTTCTCTTCGTTCCTCTCTGTCTGCTTCCGTTCTTGCTCTCTGAACACGTCTTCTGGCTCTGAGACAACTAGCGCGGAGAGTACTAAGTGCCTCGTTCCACCAGTAGACTGGACGCCGTCTGTTATTTGGCTCCAGTTTCCTCGGCATGGTCGTGTCACATGCTCTCACTAACGTTTCTGTCAGCTCGTCCGCATTTAGATCTACGGGACTCCCGTCCACACGAAGTGCCTCAACGAACAAATCCTTGTCGAAAGCTTTCGTCTTCCACTTTCGGTCACAAGTTCTCGTCCTCCGTACTGCCACAGTATTCCGTTGACCGATGCCATATCGTATCGCCTGATGGTCGCTATGGGTATATCCTTCGCACACTCTCCAATCCATGTTTGCCATCAGCGACGGACTGCAGAAAGTAACGTCGATAATGGATTCTCGGCCATCTCTGCGAAAAGTGCTGCTGGTGCCTTTATTGGCCAGCATAACTTCCAGTTTTGCCAGAGCTTCCAGCAGACTGTGCCCTCTTGCATTGGAACACCTGCTTCCCCACTCCACTGCCCAAGCATTGAAGTCTCCTCCGATGACTACCGGTCGTCGTCCGACCAGCTCTTCGGTAAGTCCATCAAGCATCTCGTAGAACTTCTCAATCGTCCATCTGGGGGGTGCGTAACAACTACACATGAAGATTCCGTTGATTTTGGCGATGACGAAGCCTTCGTATGAGCTCGCAACCACTTCTTGAATGGGGTATCTGCCCATAACTTGTATAGCTGCCATGATTTCTCTCATGTGTGTGTGTGTGTGTGTGTGTGTGTGTGTGTGTGTGTGTGTGTGTGTGTGTGTGTGTGTGTGTGTGTGTGTGTGTGTGTGTGTGTGTGTGTGTGTGTGTGTGTGTGTGTGTGTGTGTGTGTGTGTGTGTGTGTGTGTGTGTGTGTGTGTGTGTGTGTGTGTGTGTGTGTGTGTGTGTGTGTGTGTCATCCTCTATCCCTCACCCAGCCGGCGGGGGCGTTTGACAAGTAGAACTGCGAATAATTTGATCAAATCTCATGCTCCGTAATGGTGCCCTTTATGTTGTGAAGACTAGTACTTCACAAAGGGTAACTTTTGAGGCAAGACAGGGTATCCTCAACAAGTTAAGGGAACAGAAGGCACTAGATGTCCACAACAGGTACAGCACATAGACGCCCTTATTCACACTAACTACTCAGGGGGTAGAAGGTCAAGAAGAGCCACCGCCGCCAACTAAAGCTTGAACCGTGTAACTGGGACTCCCACGATATACCCTCGGCAATGGGCAGCAGACGATGCCCTGTGCGTATTTAGTATGTAATATGTTTTATTTGGATACACAAAATGTTTGAAGCCATGCGTCATCTAAACCATAATTTGCATCACCACAAATACACTTTTCAACAATCTTCAACTGGAACGTACTCACCAAATCACTACACCCGGAAGCGCATTCCCGATGCTTCCACGCATATTTTTCTCTACCTAGTCATCCCTAAACAATTCCTCCTCCAGCGACTGCAACCACACAACAACCAAATATCACTTTTCTTCGCTTTTCTTTTTCAAGTCACTTCGTGCACAAAAGTAATGCACATCACAAAACCCTAACAATAGATCAGTAGCAATAAGTCATATATTCTTTTAATAAATGGTTATAAAAATGACAATGATTGTTTTATAACTAACTAACATAATCTAGTTTCGATTGATCTACATTGAAATCATTTTTAACGCGAAAATAGAAACGGTCGACAATTTTGTGAACTGTTACCGGGGAATATTGTATGATTTTATTTTCAGAATGGGTTACAATGGGTAAGTTATTTTTTTACTTCATTTGCTAAAAAGTGCAATTACACTGAAGTCTTTTTACGCGGTTATTTTTACACGGTTTTTCGTGATTTTACACG